CCGGTACCGGGGCTCCAGTCCCGGTGTCCCCTCAGTCCGGTACCGGGGCTCCAGTCCCGGTGTCCCCTCAGTCCGGTACCGGGGCTCCATTCCCCGGTGTCCCCTCAGCCCGGTACCGGGTCTCCATTCCCGGTGTCCCCCCTCAGCCCGGTACCGGGGCTCCATTCCCGGTGTCCCCCCTCAGCCCGGTACCGGGGCTCCATTCCCGGTGTTCCCCTCAGCCCGGTACCGGGTCTCCAGTCCCGGTGTTCCCCTCAGCCCGGTACCGGGTCTCCAGTCCCGGTGTCCCCCTCAGCCCGGTACCGGCTGGGTCGGTACCGGGGCTCCCCCCTCATCCTTGTCCCGCGCACCGGCCCTACCTAAGGGAGGGGGAACCGAGACCCTGCAGCGACGAATCCACCGCCCTGGAGCGGCGGCGCTGGCGCCTCTCGCGCTCATCATCGTTACCGGGGCACTCGGCGAGCAGGGGGGTGCCGGTACCGCCGAGGGGCCGCGGGCTCGGGGACAGGAAGGCGGCGGCGGCGGCGGTGGCGGCGCGGGGGGTGCGGGCGGCCATGGCTGCGCCTCCGCGCCGCTCTGGGGAGGAGCCCGCCCTGAGCGAGGCCACGCCCCCTCCGCGCCTCCCGACCAATCAGCGCGCGGGGTGCCGGCGTGGCGGCCAATCAGCGCGCGGGGATCCGCCCCCCCCGAGGCGGGTTTGAACGGCGGCGCGCGCTCATTAACGGCTGAGGGGGAAGCGCTGAGGGGACCCGTGAGGGAGCGGCGCCGCCATTGCTCCGGTCCCGTTATTCCTTCTATTTCTTCCGTTCTTCCCGTTCCCTCCTTTCCCCCTGTTCCCTCCTTTCCCCCTGTTCCTTCCATTCTCTCTGTTCTTCCCGTTCCCCCCGGGCCCGGAGCGGCGGCCGCGGCCTCCGGTGCTGCCCCGGAGCCCCCCTGAAGGAGGAGGAGCCGCCGGGGCAGCGCCGCGAATCCCGGAATCCCAGAATCCCGGAATCCCGGATCACTGAGGTTGGAATATTTGGGATCGCCGAGTCCAAGCTGGGCCCGATCCCCACCTTGACACTGAGCGCAACCTCCGGGCCTTCCCCGGGACCCTCCGGGTGTGATTCCCGCAATCCCGGGACCCTCCGGGTGTAATTCCCATATTCCCTGTGATCCTCAGGGTGTAATTCCCGCATTCCCTGTGATCCTCAGGGTGTAATTCCCACATCGCCTGTGATTCTCCGAGTGTAATTCCCTGTGAGTCTCCGGGTGTAATTCCCACATTTCCCGTGTGTCTCCAGGTGTAATTCCCACATTCCCTATGATCCTCCGGGTGTAATTCCCACATTCCCGGGATCCTCAGGGTGTAATTCCCATATTCCCTGTGACTCTCCGGGTGTGATTCCCGCAATCCCGGGACCCTCCGGGTGTAATTCCCATATTCCCTGTGATCCTCAGGGTGTGATTCCCACATTCCCGGGACCCTCCGGGTGTGATTCCCACATTCCCTGTGAGTCTCCGGGTGTAATTCCCACATTCCCGGGATTCTCTGAGTGTAATTCCCACATTCCCTGTGATCCTCAGGGTGTAATTCCCGCATTCCCTGTGATCCTCAGGGTGTAATTCCCACATTCCCCAGGACCCTCCGGGTGTGATTCCCGCAATCCCGGGACCCTCCGGGTGTAATTCCCACATTCCCGGGATTCTCTGAGTGTGATTCCCACATTCCCGGGATCCTCAGGGTGTGATTCCCGCATTCCCTGTGAGTCTCCGGGTGTAATTCCCACATTCCCGGGATTCTCTGAGTGTAATTCCCACATTCCCTGTGATCCTCAGGGTGTAATTCCTGCATTCCCCGTGACTCTCCGGGTGTAATTCCCACATTCCCGGGATTCTCTGAGTGTAATTCCCACATTCCCCAGGACCCTCCGGGTGTGATTCCCGCAATCCCGGGACCCTCCGGGTGTAATTCCCACATTCCCGGGATTCTCTGAGTGTGATTCCCACATTCCCGGGATCCTCAGGGTGTGATTCCCGCATTCCCTGTGAGTCTCCGGGTGTAATTCCCACATTCCCGGGATTCTCTGAGTGTAATTCCCACATTCCCTGTGATCCTCAGGGTGTAATTCCTGCATTCCCCGTGACTCTCCGGGTGTAATTCCCACATTCCCGGGATTCTCTGAGTGTAATTCCCACATTCCCTGTGATCCTCAGGGTGTAATTCCCGCATTCCCTGTGATCCTCCGGCCTGAGGGGACATTCCCGGGAGAGCCCCGAGCTCTGTGCCTGAGGCAAAGCTCCACCAAGAGGGAAACAAATTCCTTGGTTTTCCTTCTGGAGCATCCCTTGGGCTCTGGGAGCTTTAGGAAAAAAAACTTGGGATGGCCTGGAAGTGCCAGATCCGCCCCCAAAGCTTGGGAATTCCACTGCACTCCAAAGTTTGGGAAGAGGGACTTGAATCCCACACGCAGCAGGAGCTTTTCCAGCATTCCCAGGTGAATTCCTTGGATTTAGGGATGCCTAAATCCAAGGAATTAGATTTTTTTTCCCGGCGGTTTTTCCCGGCTGAGCCGCTGGATGGAGCAGGAGGAGAAGCTGTGGATTGATCTCCGCAGGAGCTCGGGAATGATTCCCAGCATTTCCCCTCCCTGCAGGGAGCAGAACCATGGAATTGTTGAGGATGGAAAACGCCTTTAGGATCATCAAACCCGAGCTCCAGCTCGGGATGGCGCCACAGGGGGAAAATCCGGATTTAGGGAATGGTGTCCCTATCCAGGATATTCCAGATTCCCAGGAAGGGCCGATCCCAGGACGGGAGTGACGGGTTTCCATGGAACCCCTTCCAAACACAACCATCCATCAACCAGCTGAGGACAATCCCGTTTTTCCTAAGGAATGTGTGGATTTAGAGGCGGTTAACCCCAAAATCCCAGTTTTATCTTGGCTCCCTCCGGAGCTGAGCTCAAGTCACACTCCTGCTCCTGGGAATGGTCCCAATCCCTTCTCCTGCTCCTGGGAATGGCTTCAATCCCTTTTCCTGCTCCTGGGAATGGCTTCAATCCCTTTTCCTGCTCCTGGGAATGGTCCCAATCCCTTCTCCTGCTCCTGGGAATGGCCCCAATCCCTTTTCCTGCCCCTCATTCCCTGGGAATGGCCCCAATCCCTTTTCCTGCCCCTCATTCCCTGGGAATGGCCCCAATCCCTTCTCCTGCTCCTGGGAATGGTCCCAATCCCTTCTCCTGCTCCTGGGAATGGCCCCAATCCCTTCTCCTGCTCCTGGGAATGGTCCCAATCCCTTCTCCTGCTCCTGGGAATGGCCCCAATCCCTTCTCCTGCCCCTCATTCCCAGGGAATGGCCCCAATGCCTTCTCCTGCCCCTCATTCCCAATGAGCAGAGAGGATCTGACCCTCCCATTCCCGGTGTTTCATCCCAAATTCTTGTGCCACAAATCCCAAGATTTCCCAGAATTTTGGTGCCCTTTCCAACCTGGCTTTGGACGCTTCCAGGGGCAGCCACAGCTCCTCTGGGAATTCCATTCCAACCCCTCAGGGAGGAATTTCTTCCTAAAAAAACTCCTGGCTGGAGTGTGGCTCCCCCCAGGATTCCGTAATTCCTACAACCCCTCCCTGCCCATCTGATTGCTCTAATTAATAATTAATTTCTAATTAAGCCCGTGGGAGCATCCCGTGGAAGCAATTCCCTCTCTCCCCTTTTTCCTTCCTTCCCTCTGGAATTCCCGATGCCCTGGAGGTTTCTCGGCCCTGGAAACACCAAATCCTTTGGAATTCCTCCTTTCCCACCCCAGAATTCCCACTCAGCCTGAGTTGGTTTCGCTGCCGAAATCTCCCAGCAGCTCCTGCTCGCAGCTCAGTAATTACCGAGGTAATTAACGCTAATTACTGCTGGGAACGAGCCGGAATTCTCCACCCTCCAGGAACCCCAAAGCTGTGGGAATCTGCCCCAAAATGAAACCGGGGATTCCTGAAAAACACGAATCCGCTTCCATGCAGGTGTTCGGAATCCGAGCCGTTCCTTCCCGAGCTCTGATTTTTTTGGGAAGAGCCCCCCCGGGTGCCATGGAAACCGCGGGATCCACCCCGTGAGCTTCTTTGAATTCCCATTTTTTTTTTATTTTCCGGGATATTTTGGACTCGGCATTAAGCAAACATTTATGCAAAACGCTGGGATGCATCCATGGAAATGAGGCTGAACCAGAGCGGGAATTCAGCGGGAATGGGCTCGCTCAAAGCTGCGGATCCTGCTCGGAAAGCACAAAAAAGGACAAAATTTTGGGGTTTTTTTGGGGGTCAGCCCCTGAATTTGGGGGGTTTCCCATGGAATTGGAGATGGAGGGATAAGCCAAAGCCTTGGGAATGTGGAATTCCCTTTCCTTGTGAGGCTGAGGGGGATTTTTGTACCCAATAAAGGCTCAACCTCATTTTATGGGATGGGGGAGAAGTTCCCCATTAGGGACATCCCTGGAAAAGGGGGTGGGATGATCCCAATGGATCCGTGGGGATCTGAATCCCTCTGGGATGGGGTGATCCCAATGGATTTGTTGGGATCTGAATCCTGCTGGGAATTGGATGATCCCAATGGATCCGTAGGGATCTGAATCCTGCTGGGATGGGGTGATCCCAATGGATCTGTAGGGATCTGAATCCTGCTGGGAACTGGATGATCCCAATGGATCCGTAGGGATCTGAATCCTGCTGGGATGGGGTGATCCCAATGGATCCGTAGGGATCTGAATCCTGCTGGGATGGGGTGATCCCAACGGATCCGTAGGGATCTGAATCCTGCTGGGATGGGGTGATCCCAACGGATCCGTAGGGATCTGAATCCTGCTGGGAATTGGATGATCCCAATGGATCTGTAGGGATCTGGATTTGTTGGGATCTGAATCCCTTTGGGATGGGGTGATCCCAACGGATAAAATGGCTCTGTGGGGATCTGAATCCCGCTGGGAATTGGATGATCCCAATGGATTTGTTGGGATCTGAATCCCACCGGGAAGGGGATCCAGCCCGGCATTCCCAGGAAGCTTGGCCGGGAGAATGTGGATGTTTATCCCTTCATTCCTTTTTTCCCGGAGAAAATCACTCATGGAAAACCAACAGCCGGAATTTACCGGGCCCGTGGGACGGAGCTGAGCCTGGGAACGCTGCTTTAATTAAAATCTGGAATTCCAGCCAGCCGGAACCGCCGGCGGGGGTTGGATGCTCCCGCAATTCCCACCTGGAATGTTCCGCCATCGGTGCACGGAAGAAGCGGGAATTGCGCATTCCCGGCGGAGCAGCGGGATTTGGGGAGCCGGGATCCATGAGGGACACTGGAAATGTCAGGAATTTCCCGGAGAACGGAGCGGCCCCGGGCCCTGCCCGCGCTCCAGAGGGATCGGAGCCTTTCCCGTGATTTGGGAATCAGGGCTGTGCTCCCAGCCCGGAATTTGAGGAGGAATTTTGGGAATTGTCCCTTTTCCTGTTTCGGTGACGTTTCAGGACAAGCCTCCCCCCACCGAGGGTGTCCCGAACCCATCCATCTTTTTTATGGAATTTTAGCTTTTCCACCTTTTCCACCTCTTCCCGCTCCCTCCCCTCGTTAAGGGATAACGAACCATTCTCCACATCAAAGGAATATTTATCCATGAAAATCCACAGTGGGACAATCCCGAGACGCTTTGGGAAGGTCGGCTGGATTCCCCCTCTCTTGGGATGCTCCCGTGGGAAGAACTTTCCAGAAAGCTTCCAGCTGCCGCCATCCCAAAATCCCGAATTCCCCAGGGATGTCGGAGTCACAGGAATGGGATTTGGGGGTGGATATGCCAGCAGCAAAGGAATTTTGGGTGGATTTTCCACAGGGATGGGATTTGGGAGTGGATATTCCACAGGGATGGGATTTGGGAGTGGATATTCCACAGGGGTGAGATTTGGGAGTGGATATTCCACAGGGATGGGATTTGGGAGTGGATATTCCACAGGGATGGGATTTGGGAGTGGAAATTCCACAGGGATGGGATTTGGGAGTGGATATTCCACAGGGATGGGATTTGGGAGTGGATATTCCACAGGGGTGAGATTTGGGAGTGGATATTCCACAGGAATGGGATTTGGGAGTGGATATTCCACAGGGATGAGATTTGGGAGTGGATATTCCACAGGGATGGGATTTGGGAGTGGATATTCCACAGGGATGGGATTTGGGAGTGGATATTCCACAGGGATGAGATTTGGGAGTGGATATTCCACAGGGATGAGATTTGGGAGTGGATATTCCACAGGGATGAGATTGGAGGTGGATATTCCACAGGGATGGGATTTGGGAGTGGGTTTTCCACAGGAATGGGATTTGGGGAGGATATTCCACAGGGATGAGATTTGGGATGAATATTCTACAGGGGTGAGATTTCAGGTGGATATTCCAGTGGGAATAGGATTTGGGGTGGATATTCCACAGGGATGGGATTTGGGAGTGGATATTCCAGCAGGAACGGGATTTGGGAGTGGATATTCCAAGGAAAAGGGGGATTCCCGTGCTAATAGAATGATTGTGTCCATTTCTCAGCTGGACACAGAATTTTGGGGCAGGGTAAGATGAGTAAATCCCAAAATCCCGGAATGGGGAAGTCTGGAAGCGCCCGTGGTGGCTCCTGAAGGCTGAAAATTGGAATTTTTATGGATACTGATGATTTTAATGGAAAATAAACACCGGGAGCTCCCAGGCCAAGCTCCGTGACTTCACACCAGGGCTCTGGCAAGGACACGGAAATCCCGAAAAACCCAAATCTCGTCATTCCAAGTGGGAAATGCTCCGTAAACAACGGATCCTGCTTGAGGGACAGGAAATAAAAACAACAATAAAGACAAGGATGGGCGGGACAGGCCTGATATCCACGGCAATCCCAGAAAAAAACACTCGGAACAATGGGAATTGCTCCCAGATGGATCCTTGGCTTCGGCTTCCAAAGGCACCGCCGGATCCTTGGCTGCGACTTCTGAAGGCGCCGGGGTTTTGCTGCCAAGCAAGGCCAGGCCTGTTTGAATCCCAAAAATCCAGTAAAACCCCTGAAAAGTCGAGCAAAATTCCCAAAATCCAACAAGATTCCCGAATCCAGGGGTTGGTGCTGGGGGAGGGATGGTCCCACGTGGAGTGGGGGGTAGAGGGTGGATTTAGGGGCGGATTTTGGAGCAGATCCCGAGGGTGGATTTGGAATTTGCTGCTCCCGTTCAGTGGGGACGGGAATTTCTGCATTTCAGGACACAAAGCTGAGGTTAAAGCCAAAGTTTTGGGGTCGGGAGGTGGCTCCAGGCTGGGATTTGGGATCTGGCGTTTGGGATGAGGGAGTTTTCCGGGTGGTGGGAGCAGAGCTCCGGGGAATTCCCGTCAGATTCCGCTGATTTTCCTCGCGGGTGCCAGGGAGGAGGCAAAGGAACTGCCCGGTTTGGGAACTGAATCTCTGATTTGAGATCTTCCTAAAAAAACCTGGAAAAACCTCTGGATTCAGGCGGCCAGGAGTTGAGAATGGAGCAGGGACCGGGACATTTCTCCAGAGTTCCAGTGAATCCATTCAGGAGCCAAATTTCCACAGCCCAAATGAGAACTTGGGAACCAATTCCACCCCAGATTGTCCCCAAATTTGTGGATTTCTTCTGAGTTTATCCGCTTGGGATTTTGTGTTCTCCTCACTCTGGGTGTGTGTTCATCCTCTGGAGGAATCCAGGGAAAACGACCCATGAGAACGGGAACATTCCATGAATCCGTGCACACGTCAGGAACCTCGTGGATTTTGCAAAGGAAAATAAAAATTCCCTGATTAAAACAAAACGCAGGAGGTGGAAGGGAATCCTCCGAACCCTGGGGGTGAAACCGGCTCTGGAGAATTCCCGAGCTCCCTCCAATCCTCGTTTTTGGGATGGAATCTATTCCCAGGGGGTGGGAATCACTTCAGGGTGGTCTCCCCTTTTCCAGAGCTCCATGGCGTTCCAGAGTCCATCCAAGAGGCGTCACCTTGCATTTCCAGGGAATCACAGGAATTCCTTGTGGTGGTTGAGGAACAGCAGCTAAAGCCCAGCTCAGCTCGGAGATCCTCTGGAGACCCTTCAGGAGATCCTCTGGAGACCCTTCAGGAGATCCTCTGGAGACCCTTCAGGAGATCCTCTGGAGACCCTTCAGGAGATCCTCTGGAGACCCTTCAGGAGATCCTCTGGAGACCCTTCAGGAGATCCTCTGGAGACCCTTCAGGAGACCCTTCAGGAGATCTTTTGGAGACCCTTCAGGAGACCCTTCAGGAGTTCCTCTGGAGATCCTTGGGGAGATCCTTCAGGAGATCTTTTGGAGACCCTTCAGGAGATCCTTGGGGAGATCCTTTGGAGATCCCTGAAGACGCTTCAGGAGGTCATTTGGGAGACCCTTCAGGAGATCCCTCGGGAATCTCCGCTCCGATGAGCGGGTTCGGAGCGACAGCAGGAGACCAGGAGCAGCAGATGTGGACACCAGAGATGATCCAAGGCCATGCAGGAACTCCTGGATCTGCGCCGTGTCCGACAATTCCCCATGGAGCTGGAAAAAGCCATTTTGGGATTCAAGATCCCCCTGGATATCCAACAGGGAGAAGGAAATGAAGGACGGGAGGAGGAAAGCGCAGGATGGGGTTGTTTTCCATGGGGTGGGATGCACCAAGAGATCCTCTGGAGGTTCTCCTGCCTCGCAGACAGCACGGAAACGCCGGCCAGCATTGGAATTCCGGAGAAAAACCCGGCTTTGTCCCATTCCTGCCTCCCTTCCATCTCCAACCAGGCAGCGAAAACATTCCTGGTGCCCGGCCCCACAAGGGAACACACGGAACCGATCCCAAGGGCGAGAGACGGGAAAACAGCGTGGGACACGAGCAGGGCGGTGACGCCGAGGGGACATCCCTAGGTCGGGGTGTTGGAGTAGAAGCTGAAGCTCTCGGAGACCGTCTTGGAATCGCTGCGGGAGGAACCGTTGGAGGTGACGTCCAGGGAGAGGCGCTCGGCCCGGCCCGGCTCGTCCGGCTCCTCGTCGGCCGCTCCCAGCGCCGAGGCCACGGTGGCGGTGTCGGTGCGGCTGAGCTTGGACACGGAGCCGTGCGTGTGCAGGAAACGCGCCGAGCGCAGCTCCAGCCCCTCGTAGTCGCCGGCGCTGACGCATGGGCACCAGCGGAAGGCGTGCTTGAATCCCAGCCGGAATCTGCCGTGGGAGCGGAGAGACGCGGAACGGGCCGAGGGAGTGGGGGAGAACGTGGAATTCCAGAGAAAAACCCAGAATTCCAGAGAAAAAGATGGGTGGGGAAAGACAAGGAGGTGAACAAAGGGATGGGATGGAGAAGAACAATGGGATGGGATGGAGAACAATAGGATGGGATGGAGAACAGTGGGATGGGATGGAGGAACAGTGGGATGGGATGGAGAACAATGGGATGGGATGGAGAGGAACAATGGGATGGGATGGAGAGCAATGGGATGGGATGGAGAACAATGGGATGGGATGGAGGAACAAAGGGATGGGATGGAGAGGAACAATGGGATGGGATGGAGAACAATGGGATGGGATGGAGAACAATGGGATGGGATGGAGAACAATGGGATGGGATGGAGAACAATGGGATGGGATGGATGTGGTCACAGGAATGGGATGGAAATGACGACAGGGATGGAATTGAGATGGCCACAGGAATGGGATGGAAGTGACCACAAGAATGGGATGGAAGTGACCACAAGAATGGGATGGAAGTGACCACAGGAATGGGATGGAGATGGTCACAGGGATGGGATGGAGATCGTCACAGGGATGGGATGGACGTGGCCAAAGGAAGGAGGAGATAAAGCTGAGCTTTTCTAAACATGACAAAATTGCGATCTTTCACCAAGGGGAGGAGAAACCCACTGTGAAGTGAAAAACCCACGGAGAAGCAGAAAATCCCCAGAGAAATGGGAAACCCTGGAGAAACGGGAAACCCCTGGAGAAATGGGAAATCCCACCAAGAACTGGAAAACCCCCTGTGAACCCCACTGGGAGCTGGCCTTGTTTTGGTTGATGTTCACCCTCCAAACCCACGGGAATTAAGAAACACTCCAGGTGACAACTGGAAGTGGCAGAGGACACTCCCAAACCAAAGAACCATCCCAAAAAACCCTCTCCATCCTCTCCGGGATCCTACCGGGGCTCACCTGTCGTTGAGGCAGCAGTAGATGATGGGGTTGTACATGGTGGAGCTCATGGCCAACCACATGACGGCCAGGTAGAGCTGCTGGATGGACCTTCTCAGGTACCACTCGGGCCTCAGGTACTGCAGCGTGAAGTACACGTGGTAGGGCAACCAGCAGAGCGCGAAGGTGCACACCACCACGATCATCATCTTCACCACCTGCCACGGGCGACAGCGTCCGGCGGCCGTTCCGGCCTCTGGAATGGCCATTCCCACCGGGAATGCGCCGTCGGCGTCTCGGTTTGGTGTGGAGGAGATGTCCACAGGACTCTGCTCCATCTTCAACCCCTCTGGGTATTCCAAACTTTTTGGCCTTGGAGACCTTCCCAACCAGGAACATCTCAATTTCTTGTGGAGAAGGTGTCCTAAGCCCATCTGGACCCTCTGGAATGGCCATTCCCACCGGGAACGCGTGGTCGGCATCTCAGTTGGGCCACAAGGAGGTCCAGAGGACTCTGCTCCATCTTTTACCCCACCTTTGGACCTTCCAAACTTTTTAACCTTGGAGACCTTCCCAACCGGGAACATCTCAATTTCTTGTGGAGAAGGTGTCCTAAGCCCATCTGGACCCTCTGGAATGGCCGTGGATTATGGATCCAGCCATGCCCGGAATTCCTCACCTTGTGCTTGGCCATGACCTTTGCATGGTTGGGATTGGCCGGGAATCCTTGGATCCCGGAATTCCCGGAATTCCTCACCTTGTGGAGATTGGCCAGGAATCCTTGGATCCCGGAATTCCCGGAATTCCTCACCTTGTGGAGATTGGCCAGGAGCTCTGGATCCAGCCCCTCCCAGAATTCCTCACCTTGTGGAGACTGGGCGGGAATCCTTGGATCCCGGAATTCCTGGAATTCCTCACCTTCTTCACCATGACCTTTGCATGGTTGGGATTGGCCAGGAGCTCTGGATCCAGCCCCTCCCGGAATTCCTCACTTTGTGGAGACTGGCCGGGAATCCTCGGATCCCGGAATTCCCGGAATTCCTCACCTTGTGGAGACCGGCCAGGAGCTCTGGATCCCGGAATTCCCGGAATTCCTCACCTTCCTCTTGGCCGACACCTGCTCGTGGTAGCGGTCGGAGGAGTCTCCGGGGATGGCGCTGGCCCAGAGCGTGCGGCCGACGGCGGCGTAGGCGCAGCCGATCACCAGCAGCGGCAGCAGGTACAGCAGCACCGTCATGGAAAAGTGGTACCTGGAAAAAAAACCGGGATAATCCCACTGGATCCGGTGTTGGGAATGCCGTGGGAGCGTTGGGAATGCCTTGGGAACACTGGGAATGCCATGGGAGCACTGGGAATGCTCTGGGAACACTGGGAATGCTCTGGGAGCACTGGGAATGTCATGGGAGCACTGGGAATGCCGTGGGAGCACTGGGAATGTCATGGGAGCACTGGGAATGTCATGGGGGCACTGGGAATGCTCTGGGAGCACTGGGAATGCTCTGGGAACACTGGGAATGCTCTGGGAACACCAGGAATGCTGTGGGAACACCGGGAATGCTGTGGGAACACCGGGAATGCTGTGGGAACACTGGGAATGCCGTGGGAGCACTGGGAATGCTCTGGGAGCACTGGGAATGCCGTGGGAACACTGGGAATGCCGTGGGAACACCGGGAATGCTGTGGGAACACTGGGAATGCTGTGGGAACACTGGGAATGCTCTGGGAACACTGGGAATGCTCTGGGAACACTGGGAATGCTCTGGGAACACTGGGAATGCCGTGGGAGTGCCAGGAATGCCGTGGAAGCATTGGGAATGCTGTTGGAAGCAGTGGGAATGCTGTGGGAACACCGGGAATGCTCTGGGAATTCCGGGAATGCCGTGGATCAGCGAGAACTTCTGTTAAAGAGGAGTTGCTTTAAAAGGAAATCCAAGAATTCCGGGTTTAACCACAGGAGCCGATGGAGGCTCCGACCTTGCAGGAAATCCTGGAAAAATCCTCTCCTCCCTAAAAACTGATCCCACAAACGTGGCCGGTGCCAGCTTGGAAAACTTCCCAAATCCTGGAATTTTATTCCCAAGGCTTTGGGGCCTCCGGGTGAATTTTCTGGGCTCCAATCCCAGCTCCTGCATCTTCCCAAGGATTTGGACTCGAATCCAGGCACCTTGGATTGAATCCCAGCTCCAGAGGGTGAGGAATTCTCCGGGAATTCTCCCACAGGGAACGGGGCCGGCCCAGGCCCCGCTGCTGCTCGCCACCGGAATCTGATTTTCCCGGCCCTAATTCCATTTGGGATGAGCTTTGCGGGGCTGGATTGCGTTTGGCTCATTCCGGAGGCGTCTCGGCGGCTCCAGAGGAGGATTTTGTTGTGGTTCCCATGGAATTCCAGATCCTCGGAGCGCCGCAGGAACGTCTGGAGGAGCCGCGGGATAACGTCAGCAGCGCAGAGCCTCAATTCCAGAGGGGTCTGGGCTCCGGGAGCCGTTCCAGAAGGATCCGGGAATTCTTTTGGGATGCCGGGGCTGGAAGAGCAGCGGGATTTTTCCGCCCGCAGGATTCCCGGGATCGGAGCGCTCGGGGAAATTCGGGAATTGCGGCTGGAAGGTTTTTAGGATCGGGCGTGGGATGGAGGATCCCGTGGGAATCGCGGGAGGACGGAGCCGCCGCCTCCGTTTCCCTGGCAAATCCCGGGAATTCCGGCATGGAAGGGGGCTCTGAATTCCCGGAGGATCCGGGGGTGGATCCTCCCTCCCCTCAAAATCCCAAGCTGATGGAATTCATGATCCCTTTGGGAATCCTGATCGAATCCGGATTGAATCCTGCGGAATTCTCGGCTCCGACCGAAATCAGGGATATTTTCCAGGGAAAAACCAGCCCTGGGACCCTCGGCACGCCGGGATTGTTCTCCCCAGAGGTTTTCCAAAGGAATTCCCTCCCAGAAGTGTTGGAATTCTCCTGTTTTCCCTGGTTTTTTTCCACCTGTTTTCCCCGGGAACTGGAAAAATGACGGAATTTTTTCCACCCAGCGCCACAAACGGAGCAGCTGCCACCGGAGCGTTCCCAGAATAACCGCTCCAAGGCCACGGAGCGGGGAAAAAGCCGGAATGACGCCTCTGGAATGACCCAAACACCTGTCCCGAGTTATTTAGGGCAGGAAAATCCCATCCCGGATTCCGAGTTCCTCCCAATCCCCAAATTCTTTGGGATTCGCCCATCCCCGAAGCTGCCATGGATCTCCTTTCCCAGTTTTCCCAGAAAAACGCGGGGTGCGGATCCTGATGGATTCAACGGCGGCGTTTCCCTTTGGGATCGGCCGTTGGAAAAGCTCCGTCCCGATCAGCGGCTGCCTCGTTTCGGGCTGGGAATCATTTCCCACCGTTTTCCTTCCGTTTTCCTTCCATTTTCCTTCCATTTCCCACAATTTCCCACCATTTTCCTTCCATTTCCTGGATTTCCCTTGGATTTTCTTCTGGATTTCCCCCAGATTTCCCTTGAATTTTCCCTTGGATTTTCCCCCACATTTCCCCGAGATTTCCCCCGGATTTCCCTTGGATTTTCCTTCAGATTTCCCTCAGATTTTCCCTCAGATTTTCCCTGGATTTTCCCTGGATTTCTCCCAGATTTCCCTCAGATTTCCCCTGGATTTCCCCCATGTTTCCCCCGCATTTCCCCTGGATTTTCCCTGGATTTCTCCTGTATTTCCCTCGGATTTCCCTCGGATTTCCCTCAGATTTTCCCTCGGATTTCCCTCAGATTTTCCCTTGGATTTTCCCTGGATTTCCCTCAGATTTCTCCTGGATTTCCCTTGGATTTTCCTTCAGATTTCCCTCAGATTTTCCCTCGGATTTTCCCTGGATTTCCCTCAGATTTCTCCTGGATTTCCCTTGGATTTTCCTTCAGATTTCCCTCAGATTTTCCCTGGATTTTCCCTGGATTTCCCTCAGATTTTCTTCCAGATTTTCCCCCGGATTTCCCTCAGATTTTCCCTCAGATTTTCCCTCAGATTTCCCCCAGATTTTCCCTGGATTTTCCCTGGATTTCCCTCAGATTCCCTCAGATTTCCCTCGGATTTCCCCCAGATTTCCCCCAGATTTCCCCCAGATTTCCCCCAGATTTCCCTCGGATTTCCCCCAGATTTCCCTTGGATTTCCCTCGGATTTCCCTCGGATTTCCCTCGGATTTCCCTCAGATTTCCCCCAGATTTCCCCCGAATTTCCCTTGGATTTTCCCTCAGATTTTCCCCCAGATTTTCCCTGGATTTTCCCTGGATTTCCCTCGGATTTTCCCTCGGATTTCCCCCAGATTTCCCTCGAATTTCCCCCAGATTTCCGCGTTCCCACTCACGTTTTTCCGGACACGGCTCCTCCGGGCTCCGGCCACTCCACGAGGCAGACGGATCTTCCCGGGAGCTCGGCGGTGACGGAGAAATATCCCTGCGGAGCGGCGAGCAGCAGCGCCAGGAGCCAGATCAGCCCCACCAGAGCCTTGGTGGCCGCGGCCGAGAGGCGAGGCCGGAGCGGGTGGATGATGGCCACGTACCTGTGCGGGAACAGCGGGAATGGGGCAGAATTCCCGGGATTCCGGTTCTGGGAACAGTGGGAATGGGCCGGAATTCCCGGGATTCCAGTTCTGGGAACAGCGGGAATGGGCTGGAATTCCTGGGATTCTGGCTCTGGGAACAGCGGGAATGGGCCGGAATTCCAGTTCTGGGAACAGCGGGAATGGGGCAGAATTCCTGGGATTCCGGTTCTGGGAACAGCGGGAATGGGCTGGAATTCCTGGGATTCTGGCTCTGGGAACAGCGGGAATGGGCCGGAATTCCAGTTCTGGGAACAGCGGGAATGGGCTGAGATTCCCTGGATTCCGGTTCTGGGAACAGCGGGAATGGGCCGGAATTCCCGGGATGTGGGAATGGCGGGAATGGGCCAGAATTCCTGGGATTCCGGTTCTGGGAACAGCGGGAATGGGCTGGAATTCCTGGGATTCTGGCTCTGGGAACAGCGGGAATGGGCCGGAATTCCAGTTCTGGGAACAGCGGGAATGGGCTGAGATTCCCTGGATTCCGGTTCTGGGAACAGCGGGAATGGGCCGGAATTCCCGGGATGTGGGAATGGCGGGAATGGGCCAGAATTCCTGGGATTCCGGCTCTGGGAACAGCGGGAATGGGCCGGAATTCCTGGGATTCTGGTTCTGGGAACAGCAGGAATGGGCCAGGATTCCCAGGATGTGGGAATGGGGCTGGAAAATCCCGGTGTTCCGGCTCTGGGAACAGCGGGAATGGGCTGGAATTCCTGGGATTCCAGCTCTGGGAACAGCGGGAATGGGCTGGGATTCCCAGCATGTTGGGAATGGTGGGAATGGGGCCGGAAAATCCCGGGATTTCCTTTGGGAACGGCGTGAATCAGGCTGGAAAATCCCGGTGTTCCGGTTCTGGGAACAGCGGGAATCGAGGCTGGAAAATCCCAGGGTTTCATTGGGGAACAGCAGGAACGGGGCCAGAAATGTGGGAATAGTAGGAATGGGGCTGGAAAATCCCAGGATTTCAGCTCTGGGAACAGCGGGAATGGGGCTGGAAAATTCCAGAATGTAAGAACAGCATCCTCTAATTCCCTCTCCAGGGAAAACACGGAGTGAGCTGGAAAAATATTCCCGATATCCCGCTGCTCTGGCCAGCCTGGGACTTCAGCTTCCCGATTTTCCTGCTGAAATTTGGGAATTGGGGGAATTTCCACAGGGACGAGTGCAGGATTGGGATTTTTCCCTCGGGAATAATTTCGGGAGCTGTGCTGAGGGAGGGAGGTTTGGAGATCCCGATTTTCCCCTCTGGAAATTCCCTGGTAAATTGATGGATCTCGGAGCGCCCGGGATAATTGGATAATCCAATTGGAACGTTAAAAAGGGAATGTTTATATTTAAGAAATTTCCATAATAAACGGAGGAGATCCCAGTGGGATTCCCGCTGGAATTTTTAATGAGCAGCTTTTCTGGGAATTGCAGGAGGTTATTCCCACTCCAAAGCATTTTCCAGCTGCTTTCAACAGGAGCTCCACGGAAAATCGGGAATTTCTTTTGTGTCCCGCATCCCAAACTCCGCCCGGGCCCCCGGATTTGGATTTTGGCTCCGTTAACTCCGAGTTTTGGGATCGGAGAGGGGATTTTTCCCGATTCTGCCCCCCTGGGTATTTATCCCCACGGGAATTCCTGCTCCATCGATTTCCAGGGGATGCTCCGGAGGAAATCCCGGATTTATCCAGGGGCTGCTCCGTGAAATCCCAGTTTAGGGAAGGCCAGGGCTGGGATTTGGTTTTGGAAATCAGCCTGGGCACCGCTGCTTTTCCTGGAAAATCGCGGGGGGAAATGGATTTCCCGCCTTTTTCCCGTGTGAACCCATTCCCAAGAAAAGCCGGGAAGAGCCGTTGGAAGCGCCCTGGCACCGGCACATCCCAAAGGACAGGGCCGGGATTTGGGAGCCCAGGGAGCTGCCGGGCCCTGAATCCTTTGGGATTTTCCTGCGGCCCCAGCGTGCCGGCCCCGATCCCAAATTTCCTGCCATTGTCCGGAGTATTCGGAACAACTTCCGGCTGTTTTTCCTTCGTGCCCAGAGCCGGAGCGGCTCCAGGGAAAGGAGGGGATGGGGGGAAATCCCAGCAAAAATCCCGCACGAATCCGCGGTGGATCCCGCAAAAAAATTCCGCCGGGGGATTCCCGGAGGAGCCGCGGATTCCCGGGAATGTCCCAAGGCTGGGAAGGAACTGGATGGGATGTGAGGTCCTTCCCAACCCCACCCATCCCAGGATTCCCAGGTTCCATGGATCAATCCCCGCTTGCTCCCTGCTGGCTTTTCCAAGTTTTTCCGTATCCCGGGAATTGCGGGAGAGGAGTTGGGGAGGATCCCGCTGCTCCCAAACCTCCCCCGGATCCCATCGCTGCCGGAGTTTGGGAACGCCAGGCTCCTTCCAGGGGATTCCCTGGGTTTGGTTTTGGAAATTGGGAATTCCAGCCTGGCCCTGCTGCTCCCGATCCTGGTGCTGCTCCTTCCCAATCCTGATCCCGATCCCGGCTCTCCCCAATCCTGATCCCAATCCTGGCTCTGCTCATTCCCAATCCCGATCCCAGCTCTGCCCATTCCCAATCTCGATCCCGACTCTCCCCAATCCCAATCCCAATCCCGGCTCTCTCCAATCCCGATCCCAATCCTGATCCCAATCCCGATCCCAGCTCTGCCCATTCCCAATCTCGATCCCGACTCTCCCCAATCCCAATCCCAATCCCAATCCTGGCTCTCTCCAATCCCAATCCCGATCCCGGCTCTCCCCAATCCTGATCCCAATCCTGGCTCTGCTCATTCCCAATCTCAATCCCGACTCTCCCCAATCCCAATCCCAATCCCAATCCTGATCCCAATCCCGGCTCTCCCCAATCCCAATCCTGGCTCTCCCCAATCCGAATCCCAGCTCTGCCCATTCCCAATCCCGATCCCAGCTCTGCCCAATCCCAATCCCGGCTCTGCCCATTCCCAATCCAAATCCCGGCTCTGCCCATTCCCAATCCCGATCCCGACTCTCCCCAATCCCAATCCTGGCTCTCTCCAATCCCGATCCCAATCCCGATCCCGATCCCGGCTCTCCCCAATCCCAATCCTGGCTCTGCTCATTCCCAATCCCAATCCCAGCTCTGCCCGTTCCCAATCCCAATCCTGGCTCTGCTCATTCCCAATCCCAATCCCAGCTCTGCCCATTCCCAATCCCGATCCCAGCTCTGCCCAATCCCAATCCCGGCTCTGCCCATTCCCAATCCCAATCCCAGCTCTGCCCATTCCCAATCCCGATCCCGACTCTCCCCAATCCCAATCCTGGCTCTCTCCAATCCCGATCCCAATCCCGATCCCGATCCCGGCTCTCCCCAATCCCAATCCTGGCTCTGCTCATTCCCAATCCCAATCCCAGCTCTGCCCGTTCCCAATCCCAATCCTGGCTCTGCTCATTCCCAATCCCGATCCCGATCCCGGCTCTCCCCAATCCCGATCCCAGCTCTGCCCATTCCCAATCCCAATCCCAGCTCTCCCTAATCCCAATCCCGATCCCGGCTCTCCCCAATCCCAATCCTGGGTCTGCCCAATCCTGATCCCAGCTCTCCCCGATCCCAGCTCTGCCCATTCCCAATCCCGATCCCAGCTCTCCCCAATCCCAGGGATCCTTCTGCTGCCGGCCGGGAGCGATTCCTCCCTTCCAGGCTCCCGGAACAAATCCCAGAATCCCAGGCTCCGGCCTCTCCCACTGGATCCACCCCTGGAATCCGGGTGGGATTTCCCGGGGACACCCCCAAGCCGGGATGCTGCTCCCAGCCTGAGCCGTTCCTCAGCCATTCCCAACCCAGCCCAAATCCATGGAATGGCTCCGGGCACGGCGGCTCCGGCTCGGCGTTGTGAGGTGAGGCCGTTTTGTGCCTGAATTCCCGAACGAGGGAAGGGAAAAGGGAAAAGGGAAAAGGGAAGGGAAGGATCCAAAGGCACCTCCAGCACCAATCCCGGAGCCTTTCCCGAGCTCCCAGCGCTCCCAAAGAATTCCCAAAGCCACCTGCAGCCGGGGCTGGGCTATTTTTAGCACCCAAACGAGCTTTGTGTTAATTGCGGTGGAACAGACAGAGCAAAAAAAAAGATTGGGGATGTGGGATTGGGGGATTGGGATTGGGGATTTGAGGGATCTGGGATTGGGGGATCTGGGATTGAGGATCTGGGATTGAGGATCTGGGATTGAGGATCTGGGATTTGGAGATCTGGGATTGGGGACTCTGGGATTTGGGGAATCTGGGATTTGGGGGATCTGGGATTGGAGATCTGGGATTGGGGACACTGGGATTTGGGGGTCTGGGAGCTGGGCAGGAGTGACCCGGTCATTGCCCTGTCCCTGGGCTCTGGCCAGAGCTGACCACTGACCCCTGACCTGTCCCTGGGCTCCGGCCACTGCTGACCCCTGACCAGTGACCACTGACCTGTCC